TGTGTGTGTGTGTGTGTGTGTGTGTGTGTGTGTGTGTGTGTGTGTGTGTGTGTGTGTGTGTACTCATGCATACTCCTCTAAACTATGCAAGAAGCTGTCGATCTGTTCTTTAGGAATTTCTCCATCCAGATGGGCCAAGTATGTGTAGAGACTCTGAAATGTGTCGAAAGGAATCTGGGCTGCACCACCCTCAGGGTCCTCTGTGAGTATTTCACAAGCATGTTTCAAAGCACTTGTGATGGTCTGTGGGAACAGTACAGTAGACACTCTTTCAAAAACACACTTTTTTGGCATTGTTTAGCAAACTTTGAATGAACTGAACATCATTGTCTGTATCGTTTTTTGTAAATATTTTGAAACCATTTAAAATCCAACACTGCCATCTAGAGCCCTTTAGTAGAATCACATTTACAGCATCTCAAATAAAGCCCGTAGCATACGATATCATGAAAAGAACAGTTCACCCAAAAATGAATTTAAAAATCTACTGAAAATCTGAAAATTTACTCACCCTCAGGCCATCCAAGATCTTGACGATTTTGTTTTTTCATCAGAACAGATTTGGATCAATTTAGAATTACATCACTTGCATAATGGATCCTCTGCAGTGAATGGGTGCCGTCAGAATGAGAACAGCTGATAAAAACATAACAAGTAATCCACACGGCTCAAGTCCATCATTGAATGTCTTGTGAGATGAAAAGCTGCATGTTTGAAATATAGAAATCCATAATTTTAACATTTCAAACCGTTGATTCCATGACTCCATAATTATGGATTATGGGCTCGTATTTTGTCCAGAAATTATGTTTTAAATGCCTTAATGATGGACTGGAGTCCCAAAGATTACTTGTGGATTATTGTAATGCTTTTATCAGCTGTTTGAACTCTCATTCTTACGGCACCCATTCACTGTAGCGGATCAATTGCTGAGCATGTGAAGTAATGCTAAATTTCTCTAGATTTCATCCGATGAAGAAACAAACTCTTCTACATCTTGGATGACTAAATTTCCAACAAATTTGGATGAACCGTTCCTTTAATGTATCGTTAAGTACACAGTTACATATTCATAGCCACTCACCCCACCCAAAGCGCTGCATCCTAAAGCAGAAAACTGCATCCAATTAATATTTTCACTGAAGTTGCCAAGAGCAAGGATTGTGTCAAGCTGTTCAATAGGCAAACACAAGTCTTTCCACTTTTGAAGAAGCTCCTCTTTTGTAATGATTTCTTTAGGTGCAAACTACAGGCGAGAGAAATTTCATCAATATTCATAAATATATGTGCTGTACTGTGTATACAACATACAAAAGAAATGCATTGGATCACACCTGTTTATGAAGGATCTTTAGAAGGCCTGGTGTAAGTCCTGTGTCTGTTTTCTGAGTTGCCACTGGCATTTTCAGCCTCTCTTTGACTGGTAGGTCCTGATCTTTTGATAATGCTGAAAAATAGCTGGAGGAGAAGCAGTTTTATTGTTGCCATTTGTCATACTATATTATATTTCCATTGTTTTATAAAGCATACATTATATATAAAGCCAATCTGATGCATTATCATAGTACACTTGTTTAATAAAGCAAAACTTACTCAGTTGCCCATTGCAGCACATCACGTGGCTGTGTCTTGATTGCAGCTTTTGTGAACTGCTTTAAAATATCAGGCAGTTCTGGAGGAATGTTGATCTGCTGGGCGCAGTACATTGTCTCAGGAGGAGGCATCACTTTGTATTTTAAGATAATGACAAAGAGAAGGTGAACACAAAAGAGCGCAAAAAGGACATTAGCCAGTCAGAATATCATTCAATACATGCAATAAGGAAAAAGTGTTACTTTATTCAATTGTGTTACTTTAATTGGCTAACGTTACACCATAGGCTGACGTTGTAGATTAACTAAATAGCAATTAATTTAAACAAACAAAAGAACCTACCGTTTTATGGTAATTTTAAATACAATGTTGTAGTTAAATCCTTCTTCGTAAATAGCTTATTATAAACGTATAGTGTACGTTTATATATAGGCTAGCACTTTATATATATATATACTATAATATCATTTTGTCATCTTATAAAACAGCAGCGACTTGAATGTCTGTGTTATTCATAGCAACGTGTTGTTTGTAAGCATCTCCTAGAAACCAAAAAGAGCTCCGAGATCTGATTGGCCAATGCCAGCAAAGAGGGCGTTAACTAGAGCATGTGTTGCCATGTCCATTGATTTTAAGTCGCTTGTGTGTGTTTCCTCTCCCCGTTAAAAATCAAAAGTGGACGGTTCGGTTCATTATTTATATATTTTAAAAAACGGTATGTGGGTTTGCAATTGCTTGGCTCCTCATCCAATGATGCCCTAATCTGATGCTTTTGCCTAGCAAGTCGTAAGTATGAGAGGTGTAGACTATGAAAAAATATTAATGTTAACGTTAATTAAATGTTAACATTTTGTGAAACAAAACTAACTGTTGAAAATATATTATTTTCAAAGGTTTAACCTCGATTAATTAATGTTTCATTAGCTAATATTTCTAAAACAATCGCTTATTTTGGTTGTTTCAGTTGCTTTCTCTTGTGGTATCTGGCAACACTTAAACAGACCTCTTCCGTTTACGTCTACATTTGTTTAAAACCAACTTTTTTTTTTGTTTCGTATATTTGCAATATACTTTTAATCGTCTTCTAGAAACATAGCAAACAGTTAAAGAAGGTTTGATGAGAAATTTTAATGTCCTTATAAACTTTCATGAGCAGCACAAGACTTGGACTTCCGAGAAAGTACAGTCCGCGTTTACAGCCTATGCAAAGCGAAAACTTGCTTAAAGGTCGTCTAAAGGTGCATGCTGTTTGCTCCCAGTAGATGTGTTCAACTGTGGGTTACAGTTTTCTCAGCCTAACTACATATCTGCGGTCTTTGCAAAACAATGGATGTTCAAAAGTATTTGGCACGTATCGGCTGTTCGGGACCATGTCCTCCAACGCTGGAGACATTGCGATACGTTCACCTGAATCACTTAATGACAGTTCCCTTTGAGAATCTCACTATTCACATCGGAGAACGGGTCAGGCTTGAGTTGCCACTTTTATATGAAAAAATCGTCGTCCTGCGCCGCGGAGGATTCTGCTTTGAGAATAATGGGCTCTTCTCATGGCTTCTATCTCAGATGGGCTTCGACGTGACTATTCTCTCCGCACAGGTCAGGAATCGGTTCACCGGTGCTTACGGGCCTCCGTTCGACCACTTCATCATGATGCTGAAGCTGGATGGACACAGGTGGCTCTGTGATGTAGGGTTCGGATCCGGATTACAGCTCCCTCTCTCTCTTGAGACAGACAGTCCTCAAGTCCAGAGCCACGGAGCGTATCGCCTCAGATCTCAGGGAAACTTCATTTTCATGGAAGTGAAATCTGAGACTGAAGTATCAGGGGTTGGAGAAGAATGTTGGACGGAACAGTACAAATTCACCCTGGAGCCACGTGAAAGAGATGAGTTCAGAGCCATGTGTGATTACCATCAGAGCTCTGCTAGCTCGATTTTCTTCTGCAAGTCTCTCTGTTCACTCTTACTGCCCACTGGAAGAATCACAATCATGGGCCGCAGACTGATTATAACCAGTTTGTCCTCAGTGGAAGGACAACAAGCTACACAAACCACAAGAGATATTTCCGATGAAGAAATCACAGAGTTGTTGAGAGAAAAGTTTGGAATTGTTCTTCATTCTCCACTCACTCCAAAAGATGTTGAGATTGTACCACCACCAGTTACATATTAAGGGGTTATTTGTTGGGCCTCTTTTTGCTTTTTAAGATGGTCTGTTGATTTTTCCCCCCATTAAACACACAAGGAAATATTTAATTATGAATTAAATTACTTTGTACTCTAAGTCTTGTAGATAACATCACTCAGGGCATGGATATAGGCTATTTGTAACCATTTATTGGTCTATGTAGAAGATTAAGATGTTAAAAGTTGTTCTTTGAAGTGCTCATATGTACATTTATCTTTAACCATCAGACAAAATGTCTTCTTTAAGAAATTCTTCTAATAAATTAGTAACATTTTGAAAGAAAATTAATAAACTTTTGTTGATGTGTTAAGAAAATGCATATAATTCCAGTAAACGGTGTGAGCTGCATTGTTCCAGTGTTATTTTAGTAGCCTATTAGTATTTATTAATATTTAGAATTCGCTTTTATTTTTATTTTATACTACTTTGTTAGTTTTAGTAATTTTGTTGTGTTCTTTTGTAATTTAAATATTTAAATGTTGCCTTAATTGTTTATTTCAGCTTTAGTTTTGGTAATAGTGATTTTAAAATTGTAGGAATTTTAATACTTAGCCTATAGTTAGCTGTCAAGGCAACATTTTTGATTTTCGAAGTTTTTCATCTAATATTTTAGATCAGCTTTATTTAAATGACCGAAAACGATGTTTAATAGTTTTAGTTTTACAGTCACAACATTATTCATATTAATAATGTTTTGATTGTAAAACTAAAACTATTACACATGAGGGACACAAAAGATATAAAAAGTAACATCTCATTTTAATAGCCTACGGACCAGATAATGATGCTTAGAACAACAACTAAGAGAATGTGACATTGTTTATTTATATTATTCTTTACAAAAACGTTTCGAAATATTTATACGTCGCTGAGAAGTTTGTCCTCACAGAGTTGCCGTAGCAGAGAAAAATATGTCATATCTTGGGAAAATAGCCAAGGTAAAAAAAATATATGTATATTTTATTTCATTACATTAATTCGAATTTTGCAAGTACGGTTGTATTTTTGTGTGTAACTAAATTAGATAATTATGCATAATAAGAAAGCTGAGATTTTTCAGTAAAGCGTTTATTTTGAGGATGCGCTACATCTCGGCGCATAGAGGGGCAGCAGTGATGTAACGTTAGCTAAGCTAACTGGAGCTTATTGACCTGATAGTGTTTTTGTATTTTTATATTTAAACTAAATGTATACATTTCTTAAATAGTTTTTATTTTGCCGCATGATTCTATAATATATTTCTCGTGAATTATATTATGTCCGGAATTCTAGAACATTCTCTTCTGAGAGTGTGCCTCATCTTGAATCATGTGAAACTGATGTTTTAGTACAACTCGTATGCCTTGCTGTTTGTTTTTCTTCCTTAAATTTCAGTTTTCCAGTACTTGTACATAATATGTGAATCCATAATTTGCTTTGTTTCTAAGGTTATTATGACTTGTTTTATGTTCGTTTTCTCTGCCCTTCCTTGTTGAGGTGGCAGTGCCCGGAGCCCTTGGCCTGATGTCTGGCACTGTTTTTGCAGCAAGGAGGCCAAAGAAAACAACACCACCCTGATGACGGATGAGGTACTTCCTGTGCAGTGTGTTTTGGGATGGTGTGGGCTAGAATGAGGAGGTCATTGACATGATGTTGAAGGGCTTTTACAACACCCCTATATTTTTCAGCTTTCACTCTGACACACCTGAGCCCCAGCTGAGGTACAAGGAGCCCGAGGTCGGTCATGTTGAGCAGGCTGCAGCATCTCTGAGGAAGACAGTGGAGCCTTATATTTCATGGTGTCAGGTATGCTGTTGTACTGACAGTGCATAGTGAAGTGATTCAATAAGAAAGCTTGAGTTTTAAAGATGCAGAATTTAGTTAATACAGTGTACTAAACACAGACACATAAGATGATATACGTAATACATGCATATCTTCTCCATATTTTATAAATTATGCATTATCATAATGTTTGGTTTAAAGTTTTCATGATTTATTTATGATTCTTGTCCACCTGCGGGAAAAGACACAGTTTGCCATGGAGAAAGTACAGGCAAGTTATGTTGTTCATTTCTAGCAACTTCACAATTATGCTCATAATTTATGACTGTGGTACTGAATTAATCGGTAATGTCTCCCATGCCTTAATGTTTCTCTCTTTCAATCATAGTCTTACTACAAGACAGTTGAGCCTGGTGTGAATACCACTCAAAGTATTGTAAAAGGTATGGACACAAACACATACTCATCAATACCAGGGGTTTTCGATATTTGATGCCACAGACCCCCAAATATGATCAGACTCATGAGAAGGACTCCTATTATTAAATTTGAATGCAGCTATAGATTTTTTTTATGTATAAAGACCCAATTTATAATGTCAGGAATAAATATGAATGAATAATTTAATTAAGTTTATAAGTTTTTATAGTCAGCATTATACTGTAGTGTTATGTTTTTTATGTTTACTTAGATGTTTTGTTTTATGATAATTTTTAATCTGTTTTTATTAATTATTGTATTCATTTATTTACATACGTTTTTTTAAATTTATTTTTTATGTATTTTAATCTTTTTTCATAATCTACTTCTCTATTGTTTATTTATTTTCATTTGCAGTTTTTCTATAAACATTTCCATGGTTATACGAAACAGCATTGCATTTTTTTTTTTTTCAGACATGTATGTGTTTTTGAACGACCCTCCATCTGAGTTTTTCCCCAGTGTGGGTGTTATAGGATTCTCTGGAATTCTTGGACTTTATTTAGCAAAAGGTATGATTCTTACTCCATTATTATTGATTCAATTTTGATCATAAGGTCTTTGACCTTTAACATTTGGTTTGTGTTATTATTAAGAACTGCTTTTGTTCTCTCTGTTGTGTTTTGTCCCGACAGGCAGCAGAATCAAGAGGCTGATGTTCCCCACTGGGCTGATGGTTCTGAGCACTTCCATGTTCTACCCACAGCATGCCGCCTCTGTTGCCAGGGCAAGTTAACAGTTCTTTCTGTTTAGATGGACAGAGTCTGTTGTTGTTTCTCAGCAGGCCGTCCAGTACAGACTGCAGTAACTGAGGTTTTGAATAATGTAATATCAACTACTGTACTTGTGTCCTCCTGGGATATTAACAGCCCTTGTCTGGAGGAAATGCAGTCTGTGAATTGTATGTTCAGATAGTCAGTGTTCCTTCCTCTTTTTTCCTGTCTGGCCGTCCATAAGTGCTAAACTAGAAAGTGGAGGGATATTTTGAGAATTTTTCCATGGATAAACTCAGTCAAATAAAGTGAATAATAGACTACTCCCTGCCTCACAGGAAAAGCACTGAAAATTATATGAAGACTAATAAGCATGTTTTACTGTTTCACACAGATTTTACAAAATTCAAAAATCAGACATTAGTCCACTGATTATGGGTAATATGAATTGACTGTTTTTTCAACATTACATTTTTTTTTAAATAGACCACAAAACACTACATCTTTTCATGGGGTTCAGAAGGGCGAGTTGTTTTGGAGGAGCTGCTGAGAGGGAAATCATCATCCAAGGACAAAGTGAGGAGAAATCTGATACTTGGCACAGTGTTGTACTAGTTTTGTCTTCTTTTTGAAGACAGAGTTCATACAGTGCTAATGTCTTGAGCAGATTCATCCAAATGTCTTAAATGAAACTGAAACATAGACTACTGTTCAAAAGTTTGTGATCGGTATGATCTTAAGCTGCGTTCATCTCATTAAAATTCAGTAAAACAGTAATATTATGAAATCATTTAAAATAACTTTTATATTTTAATATATTCAAAATTTTAATTGATTAATGTGATGGCAAATCTGAATTTTCAAGAGCCACAACTCCAGTCTTCAGTGGCACGCGATCCTTCAGAAAAATTTCTTATTAAGATCAATGTTGAAAACAGTTGTGTTGTGCTTAATAATGTAAGGAGTCCAAAGTCAAGATTGTGCGATGATTTTGATGGCACATATATTTAACATTAAGATCATTCTAGAATTTGTCAAATAAACACTCTTGCTTCTCTGTGACCTTTTTCTTTCCAGGTTGAAAAAACACAGAAAACAGCCAGCCAGAAATCAAGTTGAGACAAAGCAGTACATTTTACGAGGAGTTCCTGCTTTGCACCTGGTTCTCTTATCAATGCACTGATCAGTTTAGTGGTATTTGCTATATTATTGTGTTGGTCGTGTTTACTGGAACTGTATATTTGACTGTGTTTTCTGTGCACTATATACATTTACTTTTGTACATAAATGTACACTGCAGCAGTAACCATTTGGACCAACCTGAAAAAAGAGCTACACACCTGACTTGCACTGTGAAATTTCCAGACATTTTTCAACAACTCAGTGACTTTTAGGTCTTACTGATGGTTCCTATTGTATTTCCAAAATTTTCTACACCAGTGTTGTCGTTGCATTCTCTAGAACCTTCCCGTGCCACTATACAAAGATCAAATTTCAAACTTGCATAAGTTTTTATAATCTTCACAAACTTATGATTTCACAAACCACATTGAAAAGAGTGCACCATGCAACATGAACCTAATCTGGACATAATTTGGATATTCTGCAAAGTACAGTATTCTCCAGGAGAGTTATACCATCCATTCTGTGTTCATTCACTCTACAGAGCAGATAGTAGTCTGTTTTTTTTATTGTTTTCACCATTTTACCACTGTGACTAGGAGGAAAACTTGAAGGTGTTAACTTACGCAAATAATTAATTACAAGACATCACTTTTTCTTTTCCTTTTTTATACTTTTAATGCATTAAATTGGACACAAATAAAAGACTATTGATAAGCTGATCTGACATACTAACTACAGAATATGATTGAAATAGAAGGATGAATACAAACACTACTGTAACTTCATCTCAGAGTAAATTGCTGTGTATTAATATGATGAATACCCACAGAGTATTTAAAAGTATTTTTTGTAAGCATTAAAGTATTATTTAAACTGAGAAATGGCTGTGAGCCATCTCTAGTTCCTCTTTGAACACTGGAACATCGGGCCAGCTCACTCTTCGGCAGACATTTTCAGGAGATTCTCCTTATCGATCCTGAAAAGTCGCCATCCCTCCTGCAGTGAGAGGTCGGAAGCCCCGCGTCGCTTGTAAAAGTCGATGGATGCCTTGTTGGACTCAGCCACGATGAAATGCATGCTGCTGCACCGATTCTTCACTGCTGTCTGCAGGTGGAAACAACGTTTAGACGTAATGCATAAAATCATTTAAAGATGACATAAAACACATTTCTGTGGTCTATTATGAGTTTGAAATTGCTTATAATTATAATTTTGTGTCAGCAATTACACAGTTGTGTAACCATTTTTGTCTTTAATGATGCAAACTGTATGTGCAACAAATGTAAACAGGATGACTTACATCACTGAGGGTTTTCAAGATTTCAGACCCAATTCCAAAACCTGTGAAGCATGAAATGGTCAAGGGAATTTAGGATGCACCTAGTGTCATAAAAGACAACTTAATAACACACCCTTACCTCTGTACTCTTTCATTACATAAAAATCTTCAAGGTACAGCAATTTGCCAATCCAAGGGTCATAGGTGAAGTAGTACATGGCAAATCCAATCACAGAATAACCTGTAAGTGAACACTGGTGTCTTACATAATTGCATTACATGCTTGTGCATGAAAGAATATTAAAAATAATAATAAACGTATGATAAAACGTTCAACAACACATTTTGTTTCTATTGGTCTACCTATAAACGGTCTATTCCGCTATTCAACATGTTGAAGTTCACTAAAGATCATCTTTGTCTTGATATTTACCCTCGACTTTCTGATGCTCGGCTGGCACGTCTGCGACCACACAGTGGTAAAATGGTTGGTTTCCAAATCCGTCTTCGAGCAGATCTAAACACGGAACATTTGTTGTCACTCCTGGCCAACTACTGAGCAAATGTAACATTTGATAAATAATGTGATCTCACCTTTCTCAGTTAATACAACTTGGTCTTCCATTTCTTCATACTTAGCGAGTTCCTGTAGAAGGTGGAAAGAAAAGATGCGGTTTGAACTTGAACTTGTTAGAACGTCAAGTTCTGTAGGCGGTGGGCCTAGGGCTTGTTTTCATACAGGGTCATATTTGCATACTCCATCTATGTCATGAAACTTTTTGAAACAATTTAACATAAATATAAAGATCATAATAGGTGTGACATTAACTTTTAATATAATAACATGGAACAGCACACCAATAAACGCATTTTAAGGCATATTTATAAACCTTTAAAAAAAAGTTTCGACATCATATTTTGCTATCCTAAATAATAATGCACTTCAAATATACGCATGTAATTAAACCAGTGTGAAATCTACCTTTATGAGTCGCAATATGTCAGGCACGTCTTTGGGTTCCGCTTTACGCAAATTAAAATTGGCCATTTTCTTCTTTTACTCTTTTTCCCTTTTCTCACTAGTCCTCTATATGTGAAGAGAAGCAAAAGGTGTTTCTTCATTCGCTTCCCAGAATATTACCCTCCGCTGTCAAGTTTGGGCTTCTCCTGGATGGGACTCGCATGCAGCAGCTGACCCGGCTGTGTTCACCTGGCTTTAGTAAATGTCCTTTGTTTGTCAACTCGGGCATATATATTTGCCGGTGGGGGAGGGGTTTGGTTACCATAAGAACGTTTTTTCCGATCGCGGACCAATAGCAGTTGTCCATTTGAGCTACGTTACGACACACCGTTATGCTGGTGCATATATATCAGTGGGATCAAAACACTGTAGGAATGTATGTATTTTCAACTGAAATTTTGTTCGTTTGAAGGACATTTCCTCTTGAGTAATGTAGAATATGTGTAAATTCATGTCAAATGTTGTATAAAGACAACATTTTAGCATTTTTATGTCTCACTGACAACATTGAAAACTTTCAAAACATGACGGTCGCAATTACGGTAGAAGTTGGCCGGTTAGTGAGGAAAACATCTTTTTTTTTATGCGCTTTTAAAACGGTTAGTACGGTAGATTAGCCGCGCCTACGTTCCAGGAAGTGAGGATCACTGTCAGTTAAGAAAGCAGTCATTTATGCAAGAAGTGAGCTGTTGAATGTCTCACGAAATCATTGTTGTTATACAATAAAGTGGTGAGCCAAGAACAAGGAAGATGTTTTCTCCGCGGTGAGTTTTAAAATGCTATCTTGCGTCACGCGTTTAGTGTAAACACATTATTTGTGAGTCATGCATGAAGGATTCCAGACCAGCCTGGTCTCTCAATGGGACCTTTTTTTTTTTTTTTTATATAGTTTCTTTAGTTAAAGGTTTAATACTTTTGGGATTTTACCATTAGCAGTTTTGTGTATTAATGTTTTCAAGTCTCTCTCCTCCCATGTTTTTGCTTTCTGTAAAGGGTCCTGAAGTCTGCGTCGTCCCTAATGTGCAGAGGGTTTTCCACGGGTCAGATGTGCCGACAAGGGAAAGCACCAGATATGGCTGAGGGTAATTATTTAAAAAAAATTGCAGGTAAAATGGGACTTAATGTAGTATGTGTTTATTCTTAAATATATTACTAAAGTGACCATAAAAGGTCCCACTTTACCTGTATCCTGTATTCACTCTGCCCACATATGCTTTTGTTGTACATTTTAGTGTGTGTGTATATATATATATATATATATACACAGTATATCAGTGCATCACTGACAGAAATTTAATTTGTAATCTCTGGCTAGCTCTTGGTGCAAAATAAATAATGTAGTCATTCACGTGAAATTATTGCCTAATTATTATTATATATGCACACTGTAATCATTATAATAATTTACCTCATTACATCAGTGTGTGTTCCCAGTCCTGACTCGTTTTTATGTCCCCACAGGAAACACATTTTTACTTGTGAGCAATGGTAAAATGAAAGACCATTTACTCTCTTTGATATTCTCAGACAGTCTCTTTCCGCATGTGGCTTAATAAATACTGTCCTGCTGTTATCTAATGGTACATGTGCATGTAGTTCTTTGTACTTTGACAGCTAGTGTTTTTTTTTTCTTCAAACACCTTCACCCTGTGAGCAGCCTGTTCATGCAGACTCGTCTTGGTTACTTTCTAATGCATTGTTTCTGCTGACTAGTTTTGTCTGTGTCTCCATATTATATTATGGGATGATACAGATGCTGCTACACTTTCCTTTCCAACACTACTCTTTAGTACATACAGTATGTGATATCTCAGTACATCTTTCAAGCTCCGTTTTGTTCCTCCTTATTTTCCCAGTTCGCAACAGGCTGAGGGAGATAGTCGGAGCATCCACCAACTGGAAGTATGTTACTGTATTTACATATATATGTTATTCATTTTGCACAATGATAGTCCTTATGTCACTACTTTGCATAAAATGTTGTGTTTTCTCTATTTTGTTGTACAGAGATCATCAGCAAGCATTAGCTGAGCGTGCATCACTAAGCCAGTATCTCGCACAGAGTCAAGATGAACTTCCTGCAAAGACAATGAAGGACAGTGCAATTGAGGCGCATCTTCCTCTGTGTACCCAGCCTGCCTTGAGAGAGAAATACCTCAACTATCACAACAGTGTCAGGTGCTAAAAGACCACCAATTCTCACCTGCTGCATTATTTCCTGGTTGCCTGTCTGTGTCTTGTTATAAAATTTGTGGCATTCAGAATATATCAAACTTCACAACCAGCCATTTTTGAATATTCATTCTGATCTGAGTACATTTCTTTTGCTTAAATACCTTTTTCTCAACAGGTTTGGAAGGATTTTGGAGGACTTGGACAGTTTAGCAGGTAATAAATACATCTTAAAAATATAGGTAGAAGAACCATTTTATGTTCTTCACGGAACTTTTCTTAAAATAACCTTTTTTTCTTAGTGTGATGAACATTTTAATAATCTAAAGAACCTTTTTCAATGATTAAGAACCTTTTGTGCACTGGAAGGGTTTCATGGATGTTAAAGGTTCTTCATTTGATCATAGATGCCAATAAAGAACCTTTATGTTTTAAAAAAATGTAGGTAATCACAGCAGTATTGTCTGATCATAACTCGCTCTTTCTTATCACATACCGTCTCATTCTTGTCTCTTTAGTGCTCATCTGTTACTCTCACACATGGAATAAGGAGCTGAAAAGATCTCCACTGTCTATTGTCACCGCCCTAGTGGACAAAATCGGTATTGCTTCTTGAAGTAGTAGTCATTTTTTGTTGTTGTTAAATTAATTCATTAAATTCTGTTTTATTGTTTCACAGACATGAGAAAAAACATCATCTACCCTGACTGTGACATCAAGTTCACAGGTCATGTGACGTGGGTTGGCAAAACCTCAATAGAAGCTAAAATGCACATGTCTCAGGTATTCCTAAAGTCTGTTAATAAAACGTATTAAATGTTGCACATAAAAGTGGCATTGAACTAAATGAACCATTTTCACAGTATCATGATGGGGCGTACACTGATGTATTAGATGCCACTTTTGTAATGGTGGCTCGAGATCCTGAAAACAAAAGGTAACATTAAACATGTTGGTATGATAAACATATTTATGATTGCGGTATTGTGTCTGTAAATTAATGCATGGGTTATGTACGGTTTACCAGGGCAGCTTTTATAAACCCACTAAAACTAGAGAGTCCAGAGGAAGATGCAATTTTTCAGCAAGGAGAGAGTGAGTAGCACTTTTGTTTGCTTGTAATCACAATTGCGACTTCAATTTGAAATATTTAGAGCAAGACTGATGCTCTCTATATTGATCAGTTAACAAGACGAGGCGTGTGGAGCTGAGCACAGCATCTCTTCTGAAAGTGGCTCCTACCGATGAGGGGAGGACTCTCATTCACAACCTGTTCCTCAACACTCTAGACACACGGTCAGATTTATCATCAAAACACAGCTATAAATCTGTGCCCATTTTTTTTTTTAGCAATATTTACCTTCTCCCAATAGAACTGTCAGCTTTCGGAGTCGTATTTTACCACCCAACTCCGTGTGGATGGAAGATGCCAAAATGAAAGGGCTTGAGATTTGCCATCCACAAGTAAGTATTTTTTTGCAATACTTAGGCCTAATCGATGAAACTGACAATGTCAATTAGTACATTTGCTTGATGTTTTTTTATGTACTTGCCTGGACTTTCTTTATTCTTTGTATTATACAGGAAAGAAATATCTTCAACCGGATATTTGGTGGATTTTTGATGAGAAAGGCCTATGAACTTGGTTGGGCGAATGCTTGTGCATTTGCGTAAGAGATTCCCCTTTGTTGACTATTGAATATTACCTGTAAAGAAGTATTTCATTTCATCACATGGCTATATTTGTATCTTTCAGTGGATGCAGACCAACGCTGGTGGCTGTAGATGACATTGTATTTCGAAAGCCAGTAGAAATTGGCTCTTTGCTATTGCTGTCCTCACAGGTTCTAAATTGTTAAATATCAAATGCACTCATTTGTAGCCATTTTTGTCCTTCAGAATAAGATCGATGATAATACTGTTCTGTCAGGTTTGTTACACTGAAGGGATGCACATCCAGGTCAGGGTTCACACAGAGGTGCTTGACCCATTGACCCGGCAACACAGCACCACAAATGTGTTTCACTTTACTTTTCGTGTTGAGAAGGATATCCCAGCTATTGTTCCACAGAGCTATGGAGGTCAGAATACAGCTTTTTACAAATATTGTTACATTATATTTTAATGGTATTACTTGTAATTTAATATTGTTGTAATTTGCAGAGTCTATGCTTTACCTGGATGGAAAGAGGCACTTTGATGAGACCATGAGGAGCCAAGGTTGAGCATCTGGGATGAAACTTTAGGATGAGATTCCTGCCAAAGCTGCGATGATGGTCACCGCTGTAGTTACATGAGAGTGTATGTGTGGATTCGACTATTATTTTTTTTTAGTTCCGTTCATTTTATATTCACAATATATTTTATTGTTCACTGCATTTTATATAAATCTAAAATATGATTTTTTTCACAATTGTAAACTTACAGTGGGAGAGGAGCATTTAGTGAAATGGTTTTGCAGCTTGATTGTGGCAATTTTAAACCTATTTAGTCATTAATGTGCCCCTATTATGCCATTTTTACGGTTCCTAATATTGTTTTGGGAGTCTCCTACAATAGGATTATATGCATGCAAGGTCAAAAAACGCTTTCGTTTTCTCAAAATATGCATTTAATATCACCTCATTTTCCAGCGATTCTCAAGCGATTTGTTCGAAGCAGTTCAAAGTTTCAGTCTCTCTCATTTTTTACTTGCAAGCAATGGTAAACTGGAAGAAAAGTGATTTTCCCTGCCTATTATTTTTTTATTATTATTATTAATTCTGAATGCATATTGAGCTCTTGAAAGTTATTTGAAAGTTATTTCACATGCAGACTTTCTGTCTGCATGTGTCTGCTCACATATTATTTAAAGTTATATAAAGCATTATTTAAAAATATATGCATGTAGCCTTTAGTACATCTGATGTTTTTAATTTTTGAAATGCCTTTCTCTTTCAAGACCTTATACCTTGCCTTTAATTAGCAACCTGCTGAAGCAGTCCTGTTTTGATTCTTGCCTTTTGCTTCCTGTTTTGCCATGTGTGTCCATTATCCGCATTTTTCCCCCTTCAGCTTTATTTTCTTAAGAGCTGTTTTGACCAACAAAACAGGTTTTTTAGTAATGAAGTTGCCATAAGTTGACCTTGCATTGTCATACTCTTTAGTGTAAAGCTTTAACTCTGTGTTTCTAATACCAAAACTGACAGGCTAACCACTTGAATGTGTGATGTCTCCTATTAAAATTTTGGTCTTTTTTTTTTTCTTCACAGTTCGCAACAGGCTGAGAGAAATAGTCGGTGCATCTACCAACTGGCAGTATGTTCCTGATGTGGCATATTACAATCATTAAACATTATGCAGATCAATTGGAAGTCTCTGAAATGTACATTTTATGATGTATTTTCTCCATAATATACAGAGATCATCAGCAAGTGCTGGTCGAGCGTGCATCACTAAGCCAGTATCTTGCTCAGAGTCAGGATCAACTGCCTGCAAAAAGAATGAAGGACAGTATGATAGAGGCGCATCTTCCTCTGGGTTCCCAGCCTGCCTTGAGAGAGAAATATCTTAACTCCCACAACAGCGTCAGGTGCTAAACCATTATTCTGCACATGCAGCTTGGTTAGTAATCGCTGTTAGCTTGTATTGTATTGTTAATGGGGAAAAAAACTGTTTCATTCTGTTTTTTATTTTTCTGTTTTCTTCACAGGTTTGGTCGGATTTTGGAGGACTTGGACTGTTTAGGGGGTAATATAGATTTAAATAATATAGATAATATAAGTAATATAGTTAGGCTGGATGGTACATCAAATATTATTGATATTATCATGATATCTTTGTTGGCGATATAACATTTGATGACAGGACAAAAAAATCTGATACTGTATGTCAAAATAGATCTGTGCTTTGTTTTGGAGTGTAAATGCAAGCTAATAGACTTGTCCTATGCCCCACAACTCACTTTGTTGTTGCAACAATCAAAACATTTTGTTTGAAGATTGCACTTTTTTGTGTCATTTTTATATTGGCACCTTTAAGTACATGTTTTAAATGTTGCCTTTGTGTTAATTTAAGGGAACACTCCACTATTTTTGAAAATAGGCTCATTTTCCAACTCCCCTAGAGTTAAACAGTTGAGTTTTACCGTTTAATTAAGGAACTTTGCTGCCGTACCATGGGTGCAGCAGGCGCAATGATATTACGCAGCGCCTGAAAATAGGCTAACTTCCGTCAACATAACCAACTACACAAACTTAGTGCCGGTCACGTTGGAAGGTACCTAGCTGGGGACTATTTTCAGGCGCTGCGTAATATCATTGCGCTTGCTGCACCCATGGTACGGCAGCAAAGTTCCTTGATTATTACGCCGGAATGAGAGTATAGTTCCTAGCCATATCGGCCTAGAAAATCGCAACTTTTCATTTTCCATCGATCTTAGTACACGATGTAACTACAGAAGAGTCAAGTTTTAAATAGGAAAAATATAGAAACTCTGGTCTTTTTTGAGCAAGATGCTAACGGTCTAATCAGATTCAATGATCTATGCTAAGCTACAGCTAAAAGTGCTACCGCTAGACCCGGAGATCGGCTGAATGGATTCGAAAACGATCAAACTCAACTGTTTAACTCTAGGGGAGTTGGAAAATGAGCCTATTTTCAAAAAGAGTGGAGTGTTCCTTTAACAACCTTTTTTTAAATAGTGCTAACTTTGCACTAAACAATTTCTATGTACTTTGTAACTATAGCTGTTCATAAAGATCATGTATTGTTCAAGGGAGTCTAAACAAAAAAACATCTTTTAAAAAAAATAATATATATATGTATATAGAGAGAAAGAGAGAGAGTCAAATTTTTGAAAAATGTTGATTTATTCATTTTTTAATTAATATTTAATAATATTTTAATAATATTTAATTCATATTTATTTTATTTTGCCCAGCCCTACTACAGTTAATGTATGCCGTTATAACTGTTGAGAGTGGTCACATAAACACAGAGTATCAAGCTGTCTCATTCTTGTCTCTTTAGTGCTCATCTGTTACTCTCACACATGGAATGAGGAGCTGCAAAGATCTCCACTGTCTATTGTCACCGCCCTAGTGGACAAAATCGGTATTGCTGCTAATTCACAAAGATTATTCAAAGGCTAATTAATTAATATTTTATTTCCACTCAAATTTTTAAGATATTATATATGTATTTATACTTTACTGTTAATTATTCATTTATATGCTATTGTTATTGTGTCTCAGACATGAGACAAAACATCATCTACCCAGACTGTGACATCAAGTGCACAGGTCACGTGACATGGGTTGGCAAAACCTCAATAGAAGCTACAATGCACATGTCTCAGGTGTTGTTTTCCAGTTTTTAGTAATGTATTCTCTGTATGCTGTATAGTATTATCAGAGTATCATTAAACTAAACTGAACTGTTTTCTCAGTACCAAGATGGTGCGTACACAGATGTATTAGATGCCACGTTTGTCATGGTGGCTCGAGATCCTGAAAATAAAAGGTATCACAGCTCTCTGATGTGATCAGTATGTCTAAAATTGATTTGCTGTGTCTGTGAGTTAATGCATATATTCTTAGGGCAGCTTTTGTAAACCCACTCAAACCTGAGGGTCTGGAGGAAGAGGCCATTTTTCATCAGAGTGAAGGTGAGTGCCTTTTATTTTTGTCTTTCAACAATTAAAATGGCCTCTCTAACCCAGAAGCCTTCAGTAGATTAAAAATATTAAAAAATATGTTCAAGTTTGCAGATTGGATCATTTTGTTAAGCATAGATGCAAATTATTAAATCAAGAAGATTTATGCAAAGGGTACATTACCTTCATTTTTTGTTTGTTTCATTTCAAAAAAAAAAAAGCTTTTATTGCCAAATTTATATTGATCAGTTAACAAGACGAAGCGTGTGGAGCTGAGCACAGCATCTCTTCTGAAAGTGGCTCCTACAGCTGAGGAGAGGACTCTCATTCACAACCTGTTCCTCAACACTCTAGACACACGGTCAGATTTATCATCAAAACACAGCTATAAATCTGTGCCTTTATTTTTGGTATGGGTATTAATTAAAAAATATTTTTTCCTTTTCTGTAGACTTGTGAGTTTTCGTGGTCGTATTCTACCACCAAATTCGGTGTGGATGGAAGACGCCAAACTCAAAGGGCTAGAAATTTGCCACCCAGAGGTAAGGGAAAAATAAATGTTTTATATATATATATATATATATACACTGTGTGAGACGGTCTGGTCTGAGTATTTAAAAAACTGCTGATCTACTGGGATGTATATATATGTATATTTATTTATTTATTTTATTTATTTAGTCATTTAGCAGATGCTTTTAACATACACATATATATTATACACACACATACACACAACAAAGAAAAACAAGTAGATAGAATAGAAAACAATAGAATATATATATATATGTATATGTGTATATATGTGTATATATGCATATGTATATATATGTATGTGTGTATGTATATGTATATATATGTATGGCTATGTATGTATGTGTTTAAATATTGTGTTCATATATGTGAATATAATTTGGTCTTTATACAGGAAAGAAATATCTTCAACCGGATATTCGGTGGTTTTCTGATGAGAAAGGCCTATGAACTTGGTCGTGCCAATGCCTGTGCATTTGCGTAAGAGGAAAAAGAACTGCTTTCCCTCACATGTTGAATATTTTGTGTGAAAATGTTGTTCATTGTTAACATGGTTGTGTTTGTATCTTTCAGTGGCTGCAGACCAACTGTGGTGGCTGTGGATGATATCTTATTTCGTAAGCCAGTAGAAATTGGTTCTTTGCTCCTGCTGTCTTCTCAGGTTAGTAACTTTTGCTGTTTCAGCTTATTTGAATATTATTCACACTAACAAAACTGTGATATCTTAATCAGGTTTGTTACACAGAAGGAATGTACGTCCAGGTCAGGGTTCATTCAGAGGTGCTTGATCCTTTGACCCGGCAGCACAACACCACCAATGTGTTTCACTTCACTTTCCATCTTGAAAAGGATGTCCCAGCTGTTGTCCCACAGAGCTATGGAGGTGAAAAATATTTTATTTTTATAAATGCATATATTATTATAAATAAGTTAATAATATATTCATAATTATTTGTAATTATGTTTTTATGTAATACAGTCAAATATATTTTAAGCAGAATACGTACACATATTTTTTTTTTTTCTATTTAAAATATTATTTGTAACTCAAATAATTGTATCATCTTCAGAGTCTATGCTGTACCTGGATGGAAAGAGGCACTTTGATGGGACAATGAGGAACCACTGTTGAGCATTCTAGGATGTCCTGATAGGATGAAATACTGTTTACCTGATAAAGCCTCACCGACATCCATCACTACAATTACATGAGTGTTTATATGTGGATTCTGGTTTGATTTTCAAAATGTCTACAGCTGTCACATGCATGCATTTGATACATTTAGTAATCAGTAATTTAATTGATAAGTTTATACATTTTCTAAAGCACTTTCTATGACATGTTTAAAATGTGAGATATAAATGTGGAAAACACTGTGACTACAATGTGTGACACTAAAACAACCATTCACACAATTCTTTGTCTATATTACATTTTTTCCTTTCTTTTTCCATCTGCTCATAATATTGTAGTTGTACAATAAATTTGGTCAGAAATCAGATAGAGATGCACTGTCCTTATTCTTTCAGTCCGAGAGGCAATTCTGATCTAACAGATTTTGTAGTTGCTCAAACTATCATAATCTTTAAAATCATAGTAGTAGAGCTCAGGGTTATGCAACGTTGATGCAAAAAAAAAAACTGAAGGGGGATCTTTTAGAATTGGTAATTTGTAGTGAATTTGGCAACACGGCAGAGCCGCGCGATGGGGGCTTTCAATGCGATTTTAAACATGGCAACCCGTGTACTCACGTTATTTCAGCGGTGGGTGGTGAGACAGCATGGCAGCGGCGGCGTTAAGGCATTGTTGGAGAGGACTTTCGCAGAACTCGGGCAATGGCGCTGTCAGCACTGTCAGGTCGAAGATCCTCGAGGGTCAGTACAAGTATACTTATAATAAGCTGCATTTAGATGACAAACAAGGAAGCTCCGCTTGTTAAAAGCTAGGCTAATGAAGGGGATGTGGCATGAAGACGCCTTAGGGGAGTGGGATTCACTGCATAACACTACACATTATCTCTAAAAACTGGAAAGAGTAATAAAAGTTGCTCTTTTAAACAGTAAAAGTATGCTCCTTCAAGTCATGCTTATGTCATTCATCTCATGTTTGTTAGGAAACGAGTTGACACACGTTAAGAACTTTGGTCATTTTTCGAAGACCACCTTTTATTCATACGCATTAAAATCACCAAGAGAGAGGGCAGCAAATTCGCATATTAGAATGATTTCTGAAGGATCATGTGACACTGAAGACAGGAGTAATGGCTGCTGAAAATTCAGCTTTGCCATCACAGGAATAAATTACACTTTAATATATATTAAAGTAGAAAACTTTTATTTTAAAATGATAAAAATCTGTTGTTACTGGTATTTTTTTTAATAAAATAAGTAAAAAAAATCATACCACTATCTTTTGAATACTAGGGTAAGAAATGCAGAAAAATAAACTCTAAAGCCCTGTTGACATACTGTTGTTTATTTGCAGGAGTTCGACAGAAATCTACAATACAGTACATATTACGGCCAGATCATCCAAAACTGGCCTATCGGAGAGTGAAGGGAAAGAGTCCTGGTGTCGTGTTCCTGCCTGGATATGGATCCAACATGAGCGGACAGAAGGCAGAGGCCCTGGAGGAGTTCTGCAGGTCATTAGGTCATGCCTACCTGAGGTTTGTGTCTGTTATTCATTCACAAATACATGCAGTGGGATCCACATATCTGAGACTCAGTGTAAATAATGTAAAAAGTAACTGGAATTAAAAAAATAAATGTTATGATGTCAAAATGATTGAAGATTCTGTATCATTTGTAGGCCACTAATCAATTATGCAAAATTGGGACACTGATCATGTGACCTTTTGTACAGATTATTTTTCTTTGAAGCTCAATAGTCTCCTTGGGTCATGAACGTGATCATCAGGTTTTATATAAATTTGAGTTGAACTGGGAAAAGAGCTAATTAGAAGCATTTTCCTTGTTCAGATTTTTGGAATCACTTTATATGCTGCAACAATAATTTGAATTATTCGTAGTTTAATCTTTATACATATATATA